GAACAGCTAAAGCATACCAGGGTCATTTTGGATCTGAAGCTTCAACTTCATTATCCAAGCTAAGTTTATCCTATGGATCTTGTGAGGCAGAAATCAGTGAAGGTGAGGACATGATTTTGTAGGGTAAGTCACAACAAAAGCTATGTAATTTTTGACTTTTTCAATTTGGATGTTTTTTCTAGATCTTTTCCACGCAAATTTAGATCTTTTTAGATATTTTTTGACATTGTTTTGGATATTTTTTGTCAAAGAAAAGTGGCAACACTGGTAGACACTAGACACAATCTGAGTGACTGACTGACTGACGTTCAAACCCACCAGGACATCACACCGAGTGATAAACACTGGGTGACACACAGTGCCACCATTCGAACGAGGTTCAACCGGGGACAGGGCCCCAGACAACCCTGTTCAACCCATATGTTGGGGTATACTAGGGCCTCTGGCAACAGCTAGGATGGGGCTTTAAGACAACATCAACAAAACTGCGTCTGACAATGCGACGCAGCAACTACACACACAATCTGCATGTGTTAAGAAGTTTTATACTTTTTTTTAACAAGCGTTTGTTTACTGTCTTTACAGCTCGCAGAGGCAATAAATTCAACCGCCGGTGTTACCAAGATCGCGGTCCGCGACAAACTGATTAAACACATGGTTAGTTGCGTATCCTTCACAGGACGTTGCAGAACCATCCCCAACAGCCCTGGGCTGTTTTGTGGTTTTTCTAGGCAAATTTTTTGCAGACCGCCCCCCCCCCCCAATCGTTTTTTTATATTCAAAAACGTGTTTGTTCAGTATAGTGTTTGCATGTAATGCATTGCAGGTATTTTGTATGTTTTTACAAGTGATGCCGTTTGTAAGTATGGTGTATGTTTTGTAAGTCCACGCATGGTTACCATAGAAAATTAAATTCATACATGCACTAGATTAAAATTGTTCCTCAACCTCTAATTCTTCCTGTTTGCATTGGTACATTACTTGCCAGCTGGTCGGCTCTTTCATTACCTTATACTCCGGCATGATCAGCTGTGCAGATCTAGAAGATAGAGATTAATTACGACTTCCGAATCTAAGCATTCAGAGCGTAAATGACCTGTTGAGATTTTGAGAAACATGTTAATTATACATTACTTGCTGTACCCGGCCACGCGTTGCTGTGGCCCAGAATGATAAATTGGAAAAGAAAGAAAATAGAAAGCGCACCTGTCTAATATGGTTAATATCAGTCAGTGCACAGCTACAGAGATATGCCAACTCTAGAACACGCAACATAACAGCTACAGAGATATGCCAACTCTAGAACACGCAACATATCAGTGAATGTCGATATTAGAGGTCGAATAAAGTTCACTGTTAGAAAGAGAGAAAAAAAAATTATTTGTTTATCGAGGCTAAAGCATCTGTTGTGCTTGAAAAAGCTGCCCCCCCCCCCCCCCCCACCCCACCCCCAAAAAAAAAAAAAAATGAAAATAGCTGAGGAAGAGGTATTAAAATTTAAATAAGTAAGAAATTAGAACTGTAAAATAAAGTTATAAACTTTCTGAGCTAACAGTGTTTGTCATAACCCCCCTTCCCCAATCATATCTCCCTCTCAGAATGATTTAACAACTATCACGTGGCGACATTGTTAAAATAAAAAATATTAAGAAATGAGAACGTTAAAATAATATTTTAAGCTCTCTCAGTTAACAGTGTCTGGACTGTTTAGTTTAAGTGTGTCCCCGACATAAAACTCCATCACCTAACCAGTGGTGGAACCTATAGTAATATTCCGTGATTTAAAAAAAAAAAAAGCACACTATACTCACAAATAGCGGAAATAAAAACCCGCACTCGTCATCTCTCCCTCTCCGAATGGACGATGTTTAATTAACCTTGGCATACGTGTCGACCCAAACCAAACTGGACCGTAAGCCTTCTTAGTTAACAGTTTCCGTCATCAACGAATAGTTTGTGATCGAGTGAAGCGTCGGGGGGGGGGGGGGCTTATTTGGACTGTACTGAAATCGGATGTCTTTGGGCGTAAGGCGCAGATATCGCAACTTAGCTGTAAACCACAACACAATGTGCCAATCGCCCCTTTAGGGGAAAATTAAAAATAAGCACCCAGCGGGGAATCAAACACCGGTCATCCGCGTAAAGGGCGAGATACTTACAACTCTACTACCGAAAACTGAAGACTTTAGGTCAGATATCACAGCCTAGCTGTAAACCACAACACAGCGTGTCAACCGCTCTCTCAAGGTCGAACGAATATTACCCGTGACATGAACATTGAGCATTGATCAAGCTGATATGTGTCAACTCCGACCGCTTTAGAGACTCCACTCACTGTTTTCGGACTCGGTCATTCTCAATCTTCCTGATCATACTAATTTGGTCACTCACCATAACAAACCCCAGATACAGCGATGTCTTGGATAACGAGGATTATTAACCCAAGAACCACATTCGTAGGCCGAAACGTTTTTTCCCTAAAATGCGTGCCCAGAACACGGCCGTGTTATTTTAACGTAAGCTTTGAATAAAACTAACCAGCTGCGATGACTCTCTGGGCTCAAATCATGCATCCACTTTGACCGATACTTTAACACCGCAACTGAGAGAATGTACGAGAATAGTCTGTTTTCTACCCCGTTTTTCATTCTGTAACAGGGTGATGATAAATCTTAAACCTGCAGAAAGTAAAATAATTTAACATGCCATTGTTTAGCAGTAGCTCGCGTAACACGCATGACAAAACTTAATCATAGCCGTCCTTGTCCAAGGTCACTGTCACACAGTCACGTAGGCAGGGGCTTCGTTGACATGACAGTACACCACTACATGCATGTTGCCTGCTGGTTTTAACGCGGGCAACTTCAGAAACGGGGAGTGGTTTCTGCGAAACGTAGCCCGCTACCAGTGCTACCAGTAGATAGATAGCACGACTGGATCAACAGCTTATCTTGCAGACAGCATTATGCTGTTACCCAGCTAGCAAAAAAGTCGACGAGAGCGGTGTGTCAGCTAGTTTCTCATCGCCAGCATAGCTGGTACAGACACGGATGTCGCTGCATCCAGCTGCAGTTTCCATTTGGATCTTGCTTGACAGTTATATATATTCAGTTCAAGGCTGAAGCGTATCCCGGATGCTTTGACAATTTGTTGTTGTGTTAGTTACATCCAGCAGACTACGACTTGTTGGTTGCTTCTGTAGTTGTAGGCCTGAATGGCCGAACCCTTCACGTAATTTGATTTTTCGTTTACTTTATTGCAGTTTACTGTCACTTCAGGTTTAGTTTATGTCTGTTATTACTAGATTGCGAAAATAGTTCATATATTATAGTGAATAGCGATCTATCTAATACAGTGTACAACCCACCAGCACTGGAGAGCGAGATACACGTAATTTCTTTTTGTAGAAGTATATTTCATTATTTAGACAAGCCAGAGGATATTGCTTTTGGCCGTGAAAATACGCTTGTTATTAACGACTTTATTATGTAGATATATCGTATATATAGGAAATGATGTGTATACAACTATACTATTTAATAGACACCCCCCCCCCCTCACCCGCCCTGTATGGGTTCTGAGTTTACCCTTTGAAGGAAAACAAAATAGACTCGTTGCCCCCTCTCTTGTTAACAAATATGTCATAAGAGGCGACTAACTTAGGGATTTGTTGAAATGTATATGTTAAACCAAAAGGCACTGATATTTCAGCTTATCTGTAAACCACAACACAATGTGCCAAAAGCCCTTTTAAAGGTGAACGCAGAAGAATTAGGTGTTAAAGTAATATTTTCAGACTTTATTTAGATATGTTTATTAACTCTTTCAGGCCCATGCATTTTGACAGACTTGGCCCATATTAATTTCCCTTTTCAGAAATAGAAGAGGGGGTGGGGGTGTACAAGAAAGGCAAAAGAGAATGTAATATACCTCTAATCCTACAAAATTATATATATTTTTGAAGAGAAATTAATGTTCATCTTGAATCTGATGATAAGTGTATGTTTAATATTGATGTAGTTAGTAGGAAAGAAGAATTCAGCAGGTGTTAATTTATCACATGTTACAAATTCTTCACTCACCATGGTTTTGCAGCCACAAGAGTAGTGAATATCCAAATTTGAGAATGTCGCTTTAAAGTTTATTCAATTTCCTAACAAATTCCAAAGTTATGATAAGTTCCTGTGTAAGTTTAGCACTCAGTGGCTCTTTAGTTCCAACAAAGTGCTGAACAAAATTTATAAGAAAAAAAAAACGGCAGAAAAAATGGACCTTTACACACACAATATTCACTTTGTACACTTATATAAAGACTAGCTGTAGAGATGTAAATGTAGCTTAACCATAGTATAGTAGTATCTATTTGTTTGAAGCACTTTCCTTCTCTTACACCCTGAACACAGTAGCAATGGAACATTGTCTGTGTCAGACTCATTAGAATTGCTAAATTCCGTAACAGCTGATCGCTCAGCTGTCGCTGGCATAAATTCATCCTCTAAATCACTTTCCGAAAAATCTAAAATTTCGTTATCATTATCAGAATTAAAAACATCAGACTGAAACAATTTCAGAGCTTCAGCCGTAGAAAGATGTATACTGCAACCTGTACTTGTGATTGGAACATCGGTATTCATGGCACTCGAAAACGAACTTAGAAAATACACTGTTGAAAATAATGTAGTTATGAATCCGATCAATCTGTCCACATGTGTCTTGGGATACAGAATGTTATTAAAAGGAAATTGTCAGAGTAACCTTCCCTGAATACTTTAAGGGTAGTTCCAAACATTAGAAACAAGTACGGAGCCATGTGCGAAGCAATATATACGGAACACACAATTGATGCTGAGAGTGTTATTTAAATTGGAACTTCTTAGTCAACACTCACAGCATTGCTCAGGTCTTTAAGAGTTAAATAGATCTTCAGATGTGTATGTATGTATGTATACAATCTCCCACTACCTCATTTGAGCCTCCCTATATCTACTTTTAGTCTGTCAATGGCGATTAGCATTTTACAAAGTTTGCTGGACTTTCATGAACCTTTGCTAAAAGAGAAATGCCATCAGATATTGATGTTCCTCATTGCAAACAGCCAGATTTATGCTTCCTGTCTTTGCCAGTGCACTTTGTGTAATTGTCTTGTTCATGTGTACAGACTATGTAATGGTTGATTGCACTTCTTACTATTGGTCAGAGCTTCTAAAAAAATCTGACAAAGTTTTGGTTATTTACATGATGTTTATGTTTCCCCCTGTGAACATTGATTGATCAGTCCTACATTTCCATATTTTTTCTGCCCATAAAAAAAAATGATGGTGTATGGAAACCAGTCCATTTCCTCTGTCTTCTCTCATGATTCTTCATGGTAAGTTTTTTTTTGGGAAGACTTGTTTGCCTCCTCACTTCATTGGCTTCACATTTCAGTGTTTGTTTTGTGATTCTTTTTCCCGACTGCATTCCTGAATATTCCTAGTATATTGTTGTCATCACTGTCTTATAACTGTTAATATCCTTGGCTGTGTTTCTTGAATTCATCCAATTTATTGGTCCTCTGTTTTCTAAGGTTTTTCTTTTTGAATGTGTTTAAATCCATTCCAGGTTTTTATTGGTTCCCCAACTTTCACTGGTATACTTTAGGATTAAAAAACACATCTTTGGTAACAATAAATTATGTATCTTTTTGTTAGTAAATGCTTCTGTAAATTTATTGCTTCTTTTCTTTGCCCCCCCCCCCCCCCCCCCCCCCTCTTTTTCCCCAAAAGAGCAAATAGAAGAATGGGAAATGTCTTTAGGTTGATCTAGTCTATAAAACCTAACCATGACAAGCTACTGTCTTGCAACAATATAAAGATCATAATTTTTTTTAAAAATTTATTATGAGACCTGGAACATCAGCTCTTACAATTCTATTGTCCAGAGAGCACCATAAAACAGCCACCTTTTCTGGGTTGATAACAGCACCCATTTCTGAGTTGATGACAGCACACATTTCCTCGCACCAGTCAGTCACTTTGTCTACAGTTGCCTTTAGTTCTTGGGCTGTGTTTCCTGTCGCTTCCCTGCCTATACGCAAGAACATCATCTGCAAATGTCAGTATCCTTCCTGTTCCTCATGCTTCAAGTTCTGAAATCTTCCTTGGATACACATTGAAGCGCTCTGGTGAAATTGCAGAACCATGGTGTAATCTCAGGGCGATATTGCATGCTTCTGAGGTCCATGTGCTCAAACGGAGGGCGACTTTACGGGAATGCAGGACAACTGCTATCTAGTTAACAAGCCACAGTGTATCTCCTGGACACACCCTTTCTTCATGAGCACAAATATCAAAATATCATATCTGACTCTGTTGTGGGCATCCTTAAGGTCACGAGTCGCCACCACCATCTCCTGTCTTTTTCTGGAACCAATTATAGTCATCAAAGGCAAATGTAGCCGTATTTGATCAGGTATCTTTCCCTGGCCAATAATTACCCAGACCTCTTAACAAGAGCTCTTTCATTTGTAAAAAAAAAAAAAAAATATAAATTCAACAGCAGTAATCTTAGGCGCCTTGCCCAAATTTAATAATTTAGGCATCAAAACCGTAAACATCCGTCCATATGGGGAAACTGCATTAGCAAAGTGCTTTTCGAAGCAAAAACAATTTCGAGGCTAAACATTCCGCCGTGCCTAGTCGTCTAAATTTTAAGTTCTAAAACTTAAAATTAATAACAGTTTAGGATAATCAGTCTGCCCTTTTATGAGTGAGCACATAAAAAGTATCAAGAAAATAAAAATCTGAATAGAAATTATATTGTTTTTTGTTTTAATTTTAATAGGGAGTATATTTTTGAATTTAGTTTGCAAATTTATGCTTTGTATTCTTTTGTTTCAGAACTAAATGTGATTTAAGACGGAATAGCAAAGACAGTTTTACAATGCCTGCATCTGAGGAAGAGATTACTGATCCCAAAAAGAATTTTCTAAAAGAATTGTTCGGAAACATGTAAGAGAAATAGAATTTAATCTCATTTATTAAAACTATGTGATACTGGTTAAAAGTAACTGGTAAGTTTCTTTTTTCTTAGCAAATGTGAGGTCTTTAAATGTTGTTGATTTATCATCACAATTGATCTCACAGGTGGTGTTAATACAGACAATTAAAGGTGTGAAAATCTAGTTGTGTAATCTGTAAAGGATGATGCGAAACAAACCCTAACGTATTTTGTGTGTGTGTGTGTGACTATTGTATTTTTTTAAAGACAAATTTATGTTTAGTAGTTTGCCATTGCTTTCTGAATGGTTGACTCCTGATACCATTGTTGAAACCAACACAAGATGGTCTGCTGGTAAATCGCATGCAGCTGGGATCAAACCCAGCATTCCACAGTGTTCGCAACACCTAAGCCACAGACGCTGACAAAGGTGTACTTTATACACTAATTTGTGAACTGTGAGGGAAATCAGTAAGGTATTAACGGATCTCTTTCAGTGCTAGGAAGCTCAAAGATATATTTATTCGTTACTCTGGTACATTTTTCTTTACTCTTACTGTCCTCTTCTTCTAATTTGTTAATCTTTTGTATCCCAGTTGGTGCTTTCTATACTTTTTCCTTCAGAAAGCTGTAGTTTTTAGCTGTATATATTTCATAATTCACATTTTATTTTGCTTACGCACTGTACATGGTACTTAACAAACGATCACACAAATTAAATAGGAGTCAGACAGCGCTGCGAGTGTCTTACAGCTCAGCAGACTCCAGGTCATCTTGCAAGACTCCTCTCTAAGAAGAGCTGCAAAGCAAAATATGGCCACAGCCAGTAGACCTGACATACTAAGCTTTGGGTTCAGAGACTTCGAGCTGACATCCAAGGTAATGACCGATAGTAGATTCAGCACAGAACTGGAGACTGCTGAAGAAGAATTCCACAGGACTTCAAGAAATTGTTGCTCTAGGCTCCCTAGAAATCAAAGAGCATCTGCCTGAAGCACGAGGAACCAACAATCTGCATACAAATAATTGAGATCTGTAAAATGGATGTGCACAAATCAAGTTCAATAACAACTGATGTCCAAATGTGGATGAACAGTCAGAACTTTCAACTAGAGTTTACAGCTGGTGAATGGGAAGAAGGAGAAGAAGTTGCTCTTGGGTAAAAAATCTTAGGATAGACATGGATGAAGTAACAACTACCTGGCCTGGCTCGCTAGCTCAGTTGGTTAAACCTGACTTCGTGGCGACCGGGTGACAAACTGCTTGTGGTTCGGGTTCACGCCCTGGGGTTAGCAGAAAAGCAGCATATTTCCAGATTTACAGTATCTGTCGTGGAATCAAGGCCGAAGGTTGCGATATCAATAGTACAGGGCCAAAATATTAACAATTCATGGTTTCTGGATATAAAAAAAAAACAACAAAACTATCTGAGACTGAAAAAGTTAAAAAAAATATAGTTTAAATGGAATTTGAATGTCAAGTACCGGGCCAAAATATTAACAATTCATGGTTTCTGGATGTAAAAAAAAAAAACCACTATCTGAGGCTGAAAAAGTTAAAAAATATAGTTTAAATGGAATTTGAATATCATTTACATTGCATTACCATTTTAGTTTTTCCTTCTCAACATAAACTACAAATATTGGTGGATTTATAAAAATAAACCATCTAAAGACACTTTTTTCAAATTATTTCAGGATCTCAAGTCATGTTGAGGGACATAAGAGCCTAGATTCATTACAGAGCATTAAGATAAACCAGTTTGACCAAAACAGAATCTTCACTGACACAGATTCTAAAGTGTCCATTCAAGTGGTTGACAACAAACAGAATTATGAAGGATGCCAAGATATAGCCCAAACCAAAAATTGTTTTCAAATGCATGCTGTAATAACAGATTGGGGAAAGAGCAGTTATGAAGACAGTTCTAATAACATTTCAAAAATTGGAAAGCAGAATAAAAATGACATCAATAATTTTAAATTACAAAAAGAATTACGTTATACAAAAATCAGTAGCACTGATAATGATATCTTGGATGAAAAGAATATGTTATCGAGTTCAGGAAGTGACGATGATCTCACATTTGTTAAAGAAGCATATGTTCACCAAGGAATTTCAGGTGCTGATGTGATTTTCCATAAGAATTCTGTTTCCTCCAGCAGTGTGAATTGTCAGGATGAAGCTTTAGATGAAGAAGCAGAAAGCGATGATCATAAACCACCTAAAATACAAGAGAAGATTTACATTCAAGAGCAGAGGAGTTTTAATATGGTTGAAGAAAGAAGGAAAGACAGAGACACAAAATATGATCTGTTGAGTGGTGGCAGTGACAATGAAACAAAGTACATGACTGATATCATGGAATCAGAAAAAATGGACAGCATTAACGGGAATAGTAAGGATTTAGATACCGAAGCTACAGACGAAAAACAGGATGTGGAAAAGACAGAAAAATGTCTTGAGATGGCGTATGCAGAGCATCAAAATTATAACCAAATGCTTAACACTGAAATATTCTCAGAATTCACACTTCTGCCATTATCATTATCCCTCTCACTTTTGCCAATGACAGAGTCTGTTTTTGTGGAAGAGAAGTTCAAAGGATACTCTCTGTTGGATTCACTTAAATCAGCTGTATCATGTGACAAAAGCAGAACCTGGCCAGATAGCAGTAATTACCCCCGCAATATATTTGCATCCAGACAGACAAACATGTCTTCAATTTTTGTCACAGATGATATATTTTCCCAGACTACTGACCAACTCAAACAGCATGAAAACATTTTCTTTCTTACTGACAAGAAGACCTGCAACCTGGATATATTTTCAAACTCAATTGATTGGAATGTTTTTAAAATTTCGGTCTCGCAGAAATGTGAGAGTAAAGATTTTTTTGAGATGAAACATTGGAACCAAGAAGTATATCAAGATACAGAACGCAGGTGCAATTACCAGAATATTGCAAATAATGGGTTCATTGATGACCATGATAGTCAGACTGATATGTCTTCCTATGGTACTGATATGGTCGACATGTTTGAAAGTGACTTTGAAAAATGCAAGGATCCAGAGTACTTTCAAAATGACAAGGATTTGGAGAGAAAGGGAAGAGATGATTTCTGTGAGGGCCTGATTGAACAAAACAGCGTGGAGGAACTATCAGAAAAAGAAGATAGTTTGTTAGAGTATGTCTGGGATTTTGAAGACAGCTCCAATAAGCAGACTGATGACTGCTTTTGGAAAGAGGAGAGTATAAAAACTGTTGACTTATTTGACACTTCAGATGAAAATTCAGAGAATAACAAAGGTGATTACTTTCAGGAGGATGGTGAAGCTGACTTCGTAGAATTCAAAGATATTGAAGATACTCCTGAACTGAATGCAGTGAAAAAAGATAACCTGGGAAATGATTTTGTGGAAGATATCAGTAAAAGTAAATGTTCATGGAGAATAGAAAAGAAAAATACATTTCAGAAACCAAATCAACCAGGATTCTGGAAAAGCAAGGGAAAGAAACGAAACAGACACATTTGTGACAAATGGGGCTCACTATTCCTGGATCAAAGATTGTCTGTTCACATTAAAAAGTTTAGAGCTTCTGATGTCAAGTCCAGCAGAAGAGCAAAATGTGAACCAGCTAAACACAACAGGGACAGCGGAGGACAAGAAAACTGCTACAAAAAGTTTTATTCCCAAAATAAATGCATCCAACCCTTGTTTTCCATAGTGAAGAACACTAACAAAAGAAAACAAAATGATGGGCACAGAAGAAATATTAATTGTAAACAAGAATGTTCTAGAAAATCCAGGAGTAAGATGCCCAAGCTATTTCAACATAAAATGAATCAAGACAGAAAGCAAGGAACCAACGCAGTAGACATAAATGTAGAGAAGTACAAGTGGGGGAAACCAACAAACACAAGAAAGTTGAGTTCCAAACTGGCACAGCACTCCCAGAAACCTATAGCCTTTATAAAATGGCAGCACATCTGGCAAATGAAGCCTTTCAGAGGTAGGTAATATGTTGTTTAATTACCTTTAGCTGCTTTAAGTGTATATAACGGGTTTTCCCCCTTTTCAACCCCCTCCCCCCAAATTAAAATGTATGCATTGAAAAATGCATCATTGGGAGTCATTAACTGTCACTACTGTCTGTTTTACCACTTTTTATGGTGGTTTAGACAGGGGGCCTTGAGCCTGAGGATTTAGCGCTGCCTGACTAGTGCTGTCGCCACGTACTGTACAGGTTAGGATGTTTAATTCTGCCTCCCCACCAGAAAAACTCCCATCACTTCCCCGGGGCGTCGAACTGGGATCTCCCGCATGAGAGCCAGGTGTTAGTAACTGCTGTTAGTAACATAAGTAAAGAACCCTTCTTACGCGACTGGCACCTCGGGAGTATGGTGCTAGACCCGTATATTTATAGCCCAATTGGCACTTGATGAGTAATGTGGTCAGCATAACGCTTGCTGCTTTTACTTCCAATGGCATTTCCTGGAACTAAATTTAGGTTGCGACGACCTGGATCCTAGGTAATTTTTTAAAAAACCAGGTCATTTTATAAAAATACCACCCTGGTACATATTTGAACTTTACACCTTTGGACCTGCAGTCGAGTGGCCTAGCTACTGCATTATTTCACACTCGGCTGATAGCAAGTTTATTTGTTAATTTTTCTGTCTTCATGTGCTATAGACAGAGATCTCCAGTCTTCCCATTCTCTTCCGAGTTGTTTCTGTATAGCACCTTCAGAAAATTCTCAGAATACCATAGACAAAGAAGAGAAGAAACACTGACATTTTGAAAGATCTGAACATCAAGGAAGATTGGCTGATAAACAGCATCTTATGGTTGATTAACAGCATCTTGTGGTTGATAAACAGCATTTTGTCTCTGAAGCTGAAATATTTTAGTCATATCAAGTGCCATGGTAGATTAGAAGAAAATAATAGCAGAAGGCATGTTACTAGGAAGGTGGGCAGTTGCATGAAGATTGGCACAGGATATGAGACTCCTTAAATATGAAAGTACACGAGGCAGGAGAGCTGGTGAGAGAACAAGTTTCTGTCAGTCAGACCGTGATGAGAGTAACATTCTGCAAAGGACCTGCTACATGATGATACCGCCTTCATTTGACATTTGGTTGACTTATTTTTTGTTCTTGCTTGACTTGTTGACTTCATCAGACCTACTGTCTGTCAGATCTGTTATCCCTTTCACTAATAGCTTGGGTTCTAGGGCTCAATTTTTGCGGGAAAAACATAGTAGACCCACAGTCCCCTGACAAGCATGTGGTAAAAGGCAACTAATTAGGGGAGTTTCCCTCAAAGTCTGAGTTCATATGCCTGAGGGGCAAAGAACCAGCAGTCTATATACAAATAAGCCAGATCTGTAAAGCAGATATGCATGCAAAACTCAAGTTCTTGGAACAAGCCTAAAATCCAGAAGTGAATGAACAACCAGAGTTTACAGCCAGTGAATGTGAAGAAGCACAAGAAGAAGATCTAGTGCTTAACCTTGATTTCTCGATAATAGAACTATCCATAATACTTCTTCTCTAGGGTTTACTTAATTAACTAGGATTTCTCTGACATTAGACACATGCATTATCCACAATGAGTCCTTTTTTGATTGTAACTTTTCCCTTATTGCTTAAGGTTGTAACCTGTACCTTAGTGGAAACCCTCCCATTAGACTACATTTGGTTGAAGCCAGAGTCCACACTCGTTCAGGAAATGGGAGAAAGCAGAATGGAAATTATGGCAGTTCAGGTGCTGGATCAGCAGGTGGAAATCAGGTAATGCAGTGTGTCCATTGAGAAAATGTCATACACAGCGAAAGTGGTGAATACTGATAGTAATGGCAGCTTTGTTTTGTTTTTTTGTTTTGCTGCTTTATAAAAATTATGCTGCCAGTGCAATATTTTCATGTAAGCACAAAGACTTGGAAAACAGATACTCTATTTTGTCACTGATCTGTGTCAGAAGGCTGATTGGTCTTTACTAAAAAATGAGAGATGAACAGAGTTTGGTAAACTGAGAAAAGTCAGTGAAATTAGTTAGTCAACTGATCTTTCTCACTGTGCACCAAATCATTCAGTTCATAAGTGCTCAAATCCCATCTGTATATCTCTCAGTGGCTGATGACATCGGTTTCTGAGTTTTTTATTTTTTTATTTGACTTCCTGCGTAGTGCTCATCTGGCCTCGCCCCTTTTCACTTGAAAATATAAACCCACACAAGAAGTAGTCACCTTCCTAATAAAACACAATTATGAAAGCCACAATAATATTTTTGGCTCGAAAGCCTTTATCAGCATACACAAATTAGAATAATTTGTAGCTACACAAAAGACTATAAATAAAGACTTAGCTCTTTTCACTTGCTGCTTTTGCAGCCTGTTTATGTTTGCAGATTCAGTCATCACTTGATTCTCTCAATCGTCTTACATCTCATAGATTTTCAGTTCATCAGCCTGGTCCATTGCTCAACCGTCCTCCACAGTAGCCCTGCCTCCAATCACTTTGTAATTAATTAACTTTTTATTGCTAACAAAACAAAATGATAATTGATGTTTGCTTCATCCATTTAAATAAGTTGAGTCAAGAATTGACATCACAGCACTCAGGGCATTCCCATGCATGCTCCATCCTCATCTTCAGCAGCCAGCACAGAGTTCCAATACTGATGTTACCTGTCACAATCTGGTTAAAAGTCTGTCTTGCCGTTCTTCTAAGTGTAGTGAGCAGCCCAGAGCCTCTGTTTACACCCAGTTGCCTCATTCTCTCCAGGCCATAATAATCTTCTATCTCTACTGATTCCGTTGCTTGTTCCCAAAGGGCCTTGACCACATCTGCCTTGTCATGTTCATTTCACCACCCAGTGGGGCGGATCCAGCCAATCTGTCTGCCTGTTCATTACCCACCATGCCGGCATGGCCTGGAGAAAAGATCCCAAGTATGCTCACCAACCCGTGATCCATTTAAATAAAACATGTTGTTGCTATTGAAAAAGATCTTACTTTTAGGGTTATAGTAGTCATGTGTCATGAAGATGCATACAGTACTATTATTTACAATTATTTTCAGGGTAATGGGAATGACTCAGCTCAGAGAGGAAATGGAAGTGGAAGACAAAGCGGCAGTTCCAGTGGCTCTGGTGGAAATGGAAACAACAACAACAACAACAATGGTGGTAACAGTAAAAAAGGTGCAGAACAGAAAGATAACACTGTGCACAAAAGAATCAAGGAGAAAAAAGCTGAAAAGAAAACTGATTCTCTTGGTGTGAGGTCTTACTCGCCAGAGAACCAGACCTTGTCACCATCGCTGCCTCCGCCAGTGCTAGACCCCCGCCATCTTGCCGAACGCAATTCCGTGGAAATGGCCAGGCCATTTTATAATGAAACATCGGCAGAGGTGCTTTCACCAAATGTAGCTGCAGCAGCCTCTGGCCAGCAAGAAGGAGCACTTGGTTTACCTGAAGGTGTCTCTGATGGACAGAACTCTCTCTGCGAGGAAGAGGAAGAGGAGGTCAGCTTTCAGCATGCTGCTATGTCTGTTGAGCAGCTGTGTGACATCATTGGGAATTCTGTAAGTCAGCAGTCTGTATATGTGTATATGTTTATTTATATATGTTTATGTATATATGTTTATGTATGTATGTGTGTGTGTGTGAGTGCGTGCGGGCGGGCGGGCGCAGGCACACGCGCACGCACATTTGCATGAAGTCACATATGTTTGCAGGTACATGTGTCAATCCATGTAGGCAGGTAGGCAGATAGGTGTTGCATATGTATGTACATACTCACATTTGTACATGCATGTGCACGTATATAGGTATGAATGTACAAGTCTGTTTGTGTGTACGTAGGTATGTGCATGTGGTCATGCATGCATGCAGTCATGTTCTCTGTATTTATGTGTGTGTGGTATGTATATATATATATATGTGTGTGTGTGTGTGTTTAAAAAAAAATCAGTGTGGCCCAGTGGCTTAGAGGTTATCTATCATGATTCCTGAGTCCTAAGGTGCAAGGTTTTAATGTCTGAAACAACAGTGGATGCACTGTAGCCAACCTCCATAATGGAGACAGCAGTCGTTTATTTATTATTATTTTCACCAAGTGTATTTTCCACACTTGGTTCTGGTATGATTTCTCATTCCCCCTCCCACACGCAAAGAGCCCCGCTTTTCTTCTTCTTCTTCTTTGCGTTCACCAGTCTGTAAACTTTGGCGGAAAGTTTTGGTGGTTTGCCCACTTCTAGACTTTTGTCTTGTTCCAGAACTTGAGTTTTGCCTCCACATCCGTTTTACATATATGGCTTATTTGTATGAAGACTAGACTATTGGTTCCTTGCCTCTAAAGCAGATACACTATGACTTTAAAGGATAAACCCCAAGTTACTTGTTTTTTAGGACAAGCTTGATAGGGAGGCACTGGCCCCCCCCCCATCCTCACAATAGGGTCCCTGGAACCCACATGAGGGAGCCAGGCTTTTGAGTACTGTTTCAAATTCTTGGTAACTTTTCAGTGAATGTTTACTTCTAAGTTTGTGCTGGTTTTTTCCCTGAAGTCTGACTGAATATTTCTGGTACACAATTTCAGACACGTAGTTATCCTTCTGGATCAGACACATTCGCCACCCTAAACATCTGTTTGACCCGCATAGTTCATGACCTGTCGCTGGCAGCAGATGACAACGAGGGAGCACCTTTTGACAACTGTAGTGTCTGTCTGGTTCTGTCTCAACTGCTTATCCACCTGGCGGACCCGGGACATGATGGTTGCATGAGATCCTGTGACCAGTGTTCTCAGATATTCCACCTCATCATGGAGCACTGCATTGGCTGCATTGCAAATGACCGGCCAAAGTCACGAATCACACAGTCTGACCTTTGCTACAAAATATGCAAATATTCACAGTGGAATATTGAGCAGCTTTGTCAAAGTTCTAACAAACTAAAAGGCAAGGTTAGTACACATTGTTTTTGGTGAAATAATTCTAGTTTTTTTTTTCTGTATCTTTGATTGTAAAAAATCGTTTGTTGAGAAAAAAGTGTTTCGCCGAATTGTGTTATTTTTATTTTAAAAAGAAATAGCTATATCATTTGGGGTTATTGTTTATAATAATGTTTGCTGTTAGTGCTAGATCAGGATGTTCTGTATTTGTAGTTTCTTATATTAGAACAGGAAATCATTAATCAGGTAATCACAGTTCTAACTACATAGCAAAATAAATAAAAAAATAAAAAGCAGAACCATTGTCACAGACTGCAGTCTCTCTCAGCATACCCACTAGCCTACACACTCATTAAATGCATAAAGCAGCCAGCCATCAGAAGTGCCAACACAAACAGGCAGGCACCAGAAATGCAGTTCCTTGTTGATGGAAGCATTAGGGCTTATTTTTGAGGAATGCCTTTTTTTATAAATCTGCATTTAAATTATAATTTGTAGAAAGCATTAATGTCAGTATTATTGTTTATTTATATTTATTTCTACATTCATTACTTTTTTATGCAAAACGTCTGTCGTGTGTTTCAGTTGGCCATAAGAGTCCATCCATCTAGCTGATGATTTTAAATAGGGCTTTATTTTGGGGTAGGGCTTTTGTTTCTATTGTGAGCATTCTGAAAAATGTTAGTGCTTATTTCTGGGTCATATCTTTTGTTGTTGTTGTTGGGGAAACGTTAGACCATACTTTAAAAAGTCTGTGTGAGTCTGGTTTTGCTAGCTTATCTATTAAGGTTATATTCTAGATCCGCCTCTGCCCCTGAGTGTTTCTTTTTTTTTTTTCTCTCGTCTTTTTTCATGTTGTACACTCATTGCTGGCATTGTTGGATTCATTTTCACTAGTTGGATGAGCCATTTCAGTCATATAAGTCCTGAAGATTTCTGGCATCTTTTTTAGTGAGACTGGGTAGAGACTTTCCTCTTGACAAATATATCATCACATCAGGGCCTGTGTTGTTGAGTTCTAGCTCATAAAGGGACAGACCAATACTGGAGATTTATATTTGTGGAGAGGCATTTATAGTTGTGCAGTCTGTGTTTTTGTGTGGATTGTGAATGCTGGACAATGAGTAATGAAACAGTGAATGAGGCAGTGATGTTTTTGAAAAGAATGTTAGGAATATTATTAATAGTTGAAAAAAAAAATAAAAATTTTGCTGAAGATATTGATAACTTTCAGTGTAGCAAGGTCACTCATAAAACCAGAAGGAAAAGGTACATGCAAATTGTGGAACTTGCAGCAGAAGAAATGAGATAGAAAAATTAATCGTGTGGCAACAGTACAAGGCAAGAAAGGCAGAATAAGAAAAAAGATTAATGTGGAAAGTTTAAACCACTGGGAAACAGATCATATACCACGAAGCAGTGTTTACCACTTGGGCTTACTACAGTAACAGTTGAGACTAAAATAAATCCTTCAAACTGAAACACAAAATTGACTACACTCACAAGTAGACTACATTCATGTAGTCAATGAAAATAGTTTTTTAATTGGATTCATTTATTAGCTTCAATTTATTTAATCAATTCTAACTGTAGTATGCACCTGACGAAACAAAGCCAAATATGCCAGCAGCCAAATGTGTCGGGCAATAAATTATGCATTCTATTGTATGTCTTCTGTGTTCAAAATCATATAAACACCACCAGTCTTATTAAAATATCAGGTAACAAATACAATTTAGAAATGCTGTGTACAGTTTAAAAATTTTTTGTTTGCTGTCACCATAATGAAGATTGACAACCAGGTGCCCATTTGGGTGAGGCCTTAAACTCTTCCACACCTGTGCAATTCGCAAACTACTGTCTGCAAACTCAGAGAGCAGTTTGAAAAAATCAGTTGTTGCTGTCCACCACAGAATTTGAATCCTCATACTCAGGGATTGTGAAATTGTTAAGATGCATTTACTAACCTCTGATCCACACTACACTAGACACCTGAAGCAGAAGTAGTTCAGTGTTAAAGGTTGTGTTCAGCACCAAATTAAATTAGTCTTATTTTCATGGAGTTGTAGTTTTTTTCCCTCTCTTATATTTCAGATGCAGAAATACTGTGATAAAGTTTTAGGCAGTTCTTTGGATATGGTACCTAACAGACCCTCAAAGGTAGCAGACTCAGAAGGCATAGGTGAGATAGGTGAAACTATGTTTATGGAAGCTCCAAGTACTGGTATCAGCTCCACATCGCTGTCCCTCGGTGGAAACATCGTTGCCACAGAGACAGGTGAACCAGATCAAAGACCATATTTTGATCATACTAACCAGTTTGTAAACTTGCTTTCTGCTAATTCGACTGGTGCCTCATCTATCGGTGGCAGTACTGCTGCATTTGGAAGTATTGGGGCTGATCCTGATAGTCATGCAAAGCTATCTCGTAAACCAAGTCATCCTAGGAAGACACCAGCTATTCCACAGCCAATTCCTGAAGATTCACAACCAGAGTCAGACACTTCTATGTTTCCAGGCAAGTTTCTTTTAATTTGACTGTCTTAGATTGTCAAAGATGCAAAGTGCTATCATTCAACACTATCTCCTGAGTTTTCAGAGTTACATTATATGATGAAAAAATGTCAATAAACTTGAAATAGTCAGCTTTACAGTCATGAATGATGAATAAATGTTGTGGCTAGAAAGCCTTCATCAGATAACACAAACAAACAATGATACAGTTATAAACAAGAATATGTTCCCAAGTGGGCAGGAAAAAAAGAATAGACCACTGTCCCCCTTATAAGCATATCATACAAGGCGACTGATCAGAGATATTTTCTTTGAAGTTGGAGATCTGCCTGAGAAGCAAGCAACTAACAGTCTGCATACAGAAAAGCCAGATCTGTGAAACAGATGTGCAGGCAAAACAGTAACAGAGTCCAGAAGTGGACGTACAACTAAATTTTCTGCCTGAGGTTTACAGGCGGTGAACGCTAAGAAGATGAAAAATAAAAAAATAAAAAAAAGTATTCCCCTCTCCCCAACTCCCAACCCCCCTCCCTCCCCCCCCCCAAAAAAAAAGCACTCATCTGTAAGATGATATCTGTCACAGAAATATCCATAACACATCTAAAGAGTAGGTTACTTGTGAGTTACATTATAGTTTTACTTAGATCATTTGTTATATAATTTCTCCTGAATGAGCACATAGGATGATAATTTTAAACAACATTCATCTCTTCTTTACGCTCTTGAATACCTTCCCAGAAGGAATAAAATTACTGCAGAGTTCAGTCAAGCAAAGAGGAGTTGAGACAGCCAAAGAAAAATCTACTGCGGTAGCAGTAATGTGAAGTAATATAACTTTATATGCACCAGGTCGTTAAATTATGACGAGTGATGATCATGCTCTCCTTCCCAGAGAAATATCTAGCATCCAGGTCTGTATGATAGGCTTTACACTAAGAACCACACACAAAGTAAGGAAAGGACCCTTTTCGTGACAAGCTTACAAGGCAACTAATTAGGGATTTTTCATTCGAAGTTGGAGCGCATCGCCTAAGCGAAGAGGAACCAGTAGTCTGCATAACGATCAAGCCAGGTCTGTAAAATGAATGTGCATGCAGAATTCCAGTTCTGGAACAAGACTAAGTTCACAAGTTGACGAACAACCAGAACTTTCTGCAGGAGTTTACAGCTGATGGAACGCTAAGAACAAGAAAGATATTTATGTAGACCAATTGGCCCTCATTGGGTGATACTGGCCACCTTTACTTATAAGCATATGTTCTGGTACCCATTAGGTAGGGTCCACCTGGGAACCAAGATCCTTTCCAAGTCTGCCATATTTGTATTTGAACCCAGGACTTTCAGACCGGCAGGCGACCATCTAGGAACTGCACCACAGCTACCCCTGAGCCACGCCACAGCTACCCCTGAGCCACGCACACTACCTGATACATTTTCACAACTATTTGCAAGGATGATGATATTGCTTTTGATACTGTATACAAAGACAGATGGAAATATGAGCTTTCATATTTTTGGGTAACTTTAATTGCCTATTTTTATTTCAAATTTAAAATCAGATGGAGATGATGGAAGAAGTGATGACACTAAGAGTATCATCTATCAAAGAATGCTGGTAAGTGGACTAGTTACCTTCAGTACCAATATTTATTTAGCTGAACAGTTTTGATATTGCACTATCTACTTACCATCTGCAGTTGGTGATTATAAGTCAGTCATTTTTTTTTCCCTATCATTGTTTCTTTACCAGCTATAAACAAGTATTGATAGTTCATCAAATTCTTTTTTAAACCTAGCACAGTCAAGTTATAAATTTATGAATGGTGATGATTTATCAGTCACTTTTGACCTCCCACTGTCTAATTATTATCAGTTCGCAAGTTGTGAGTGATTGTTGATCAGTCCTTTTTTTGTGTTGGCATTTAACTATTTAGTTATCAAAGGCTTACAAGTGGTGATGATCAAACAGTCATTTGTGACCTACTGTTGTGTATTTATTACCTGTTTACAAATGATGTGTCATCTGTCATTTTGATCTGTCATCAAATTATCAATTTCTTAGTCTTGGTTGATAATCATTTTTGACAGAGCACTCTGTAGTTATCATGGCTTAAGAAATGGTTATAGTTATGGTTTGACAACAATAAAAAGGGTGCTAAAATGTAACATAGAACCTGTTCTGTTGTATGGCAGCAAATCTTGGAATGTCACTGAACAATTTAGGAAGAATTTGGAAGCAACAGGGATGTGGTTTCTGAGATAAATGTTACGAATACCTTGGACGGCCAGAGTAACTAACAATGATTGCTTGAAAAAAAGCTAAAGTAGATCTCTATATACAACAATAAGAAAGAGACAAACACTCTTCTTTGGCCACATAGTGTGAAGAGAGACATTGGAGAACATCGGGACAACTGGAAAGATCAGTGGAAATAGGGGTAGAGGCAGACCAAAAGAGATGATGCTGGATGGGCTAAAATGATGGCATGGAGGGATATCATCAAGAGAGCTGTTCCAGTCAACCAGGGATCGTGATCTGTTTAGGCGCATGAGCGCCTACGTCAGCTGGCAGGGCACATGATGATGATGATGACAGCTATCTCCGGTTATCATATTTCAACTGTAACAGTTTATTTCTAAACTGTTACACATGCTAGGGAACAAATATTTGGTCATGTGAACCTAGCACTGTTATTTCACGATGATTTCTTTATGTACAGATATACAGAATCAATACAGAATATTAATTTGCATTGTATCATTTCAATCTTGGCCATCTCTCTCTTCTCTTTCAACGCCCACAATCAACCCCCACACCCACCCACAAACCAACTCACCCTCACAGCCCACTCAGAGACACAGACGCAGCGCAGAAAATGTCTAACATATCATGTTGTTTGATATTGTTCACCATGGCTGTCCACAGCCTTCTATCTTATGTCTTCCCCGTCTTCTTCTTCTTTTCCTCTTTTACCACTTCCTCTTTTACCAAAAGTGTGTCTTGTCTTCACATCTTGATTCACTGGAATGTAGCTCTCTCCCAAGCTCACCATCAGTGATTCTATCACACCATTTATTTCCCTCTGTTCTGAATAACACTTTGTTGATAACTTCAAAGGGAGTCTTGTCTGATTCATCTGAAACCCAGAGAATATATGGAAGCCAACATCGCTATGGCAGTCTTCAGGAAGGCAATGTACATGACGTCGAACAGTTTTTGTCTGCATCAGACCAGCCAAAAGGGACACCAGGCATCGGAGAAGTTGTCTTCAGTCATCCTCCTCAGCTGAAGATTGTAGCAGGGTGAGTCAAACTGTTGGGTTCAGATCAGGCTCATTCCTTCTTCTGCATTTGACTTTAAAAGGCTGGTTGGCATGTTGTTTTGTGGTTTACAGCTGAGCTGTGGTATCTGTATCTTTAAACTCAACATATCCGATTCCAGTTAAGCTGTGGTATCTGTGTCATTAAACTCAACATATCCGGTTCCAGCTAAGCTGTGGTATCTGTGTCATTATACTCAACATATCTGGTTCCAGCTAAGCTGTGGTATCTGTGTCATTAAACTCAACATATCCGGTTCCAGTTAACTCCTAATTAGTCATCCTTTACAACATGCTTGTTATGTGGCATTGGGGCTGTTCTGTTTTTCTCCAAAATGGAGACCAGGGGACCACCTGACCAGTTGGATTACATTGTTTTACAGACTTCATAAGCAGTGACATTAGCACAACGAAAAGGGCAGAAATTGCATGGAGATGATGATGACAGATCAGTGGTTAGGAAACGAACAGGCAGACTGGGTGGTTCTTCACCACTAGGTGATGAATTAATGCATGACAAGCTAAGTGTGGTCAGAGCCCTTTGAGAGCATGTGAACATTGTGAAGGCACGAATAGATAACCAGTGACAGGGGGATCTTACCAAAACTTTACATTGAGAAACAAAAAATCTAGGTATACACATATAATCAACCTGCTACTGACATTATCAGAATTTGAGCTTTTTGCTGGCTGCTGAAAGGGAAGACAGAGCACTTATGGGAATGTTCCACCTGCTATGACGACAGTTCTTAACTCAGCTCAACCAGTGACCGGGGGATCTGACCAAAACTTTACATTAAGAAAAAAAATCTAGGTACACACATATAATCAATCCGCTACTGGCATCATCAGAATTTGAGCTCTTTGCTGGCTGCTGAAGGTGAAAACAGAGCACTTATGGGAATGTTCCACCTGCTATGATGAGTTCAACCAGTGATAAGTTTGAAGAAATTTCCTCGAAGTCGGAGTACATCTGCCAGTGAGCCAGGGAACAGCAAACAAATAAAGCCAATAAAATGGAGGTACACGCAAAACTCAGGTCCAGGTAAAAGTCAAAAGTCCTAATAGCTGAACTACCGGGACCTTCCACCGGAACTCACAGCCAGTGAGCGAGAAGAAGAAGATGTTTGAAGAAAGTATCTGACAGTAGGAGACACTAGAGGTACATGATCAGGTGACACCAACACCAGTTTTAGAGCTGCTTGACTTTGAGTGGGTTAATTTGAAAACTGCATAATAGCTGAAGCTGGGGTATAAATTGTGGTATAAAATTATGTACCGAGTTATCAGAACAACAATCTGGGCTCAGTTTCCAGTTCAGTAGGGATCATTTTGCCTTGATGTAGTGTGTGCTGCCATAGGATCACTATAATAATGTCAGTATTTAAAAGAAATTAACGACAGGAGGATCGACTTAATTGTATCAACCATTATCCCATATGGCTCAGTCACTCTGCAGAGTTTGCTCACTAAGAGCATCACACAAAGCATGAGACTCCATAGCGCCAGCAGTGACCTCCAAGGATATCAGAAATAGCTGCACTTATGAACCGAAGGGCAGGGTTCAAAACCGAACTCTCAGCTCGTAGAGCATTAGACATTCTTCTTAAAAGCTGGTTAGTTGGTTGGTACCTTTCTGTTTTACCAGACGATGTTGTTATATTGTACTGTGAGGAGGCATAGGCTTCACAGTCTGCGACCCTGGCGAGCTTGAATAACAAGACCCGCCGGTGTTAAGAAGTCTTCCACAATTTTAACATGTAATTTGAGGACCATTATTGCTGTCATGCATATTTAGTGTGTGTCCTCTTAGATGTTCAGCTCTCATCCTTTCTGTGATAATTTCTTCCTTCATTGTCATTCCCTTTCTGATTTGCTGCTCTGCACAACACGGTCTGCTGCATTTTGTTCCCCCGAATCCACATCAGTACCTGTATCATTCATATCCAGCTTGAGCACATCATTATATCATAGTAGAGGCTGGCCTTGACATCTTCTACCCATCTCTAATTCACCATAGGGGATGCAGCTTCTTCTCAAGAGATACCCTCCAATTTGACTAAACAACATTATTTTCTACAATGAAATGTTCAGACAAGAAGTCTGAACTGAGAGGGAGAAGTTATAAAATCAGGCATGAAGAATAGATGGGCGAAGTCTTGGTGGGTGAACATGTAGAGTAGGATATTCTAGGTACCAGTTTCTCAATACATGTTAGTTAGTTAGTTAGTTAGTTAGTTAGTTAGTTAGTTGGGTTATCCTCATTGCACTCCGGACATGTCCATAGGTGCTCAGATCCTCCCCTCAGTATGAACCCCAACGTCCGATGGCTAATAGTACCAGTTCTATGTTGATTAACAAGTCTTCTGGCGTAGCTGGTGTGCGTCTCGTTTTTTGCTGTGCCGATCTTAATTCTCAAGTCTGCCATTCTGGCGAGTGATGTGGATTCACTGCCACCAAAGTCGTCTATCCTTCCCATTTCTCTGAGGGCATTGATAATATCAGCATGATCCATAGGCTGACCGTCGGTAGTGATAGCGGATCCAGCCAACCTGTCAGCTCTTTCATTTCCATCGACGCCTGCGTGTCCCGGAACAAAAATAAAGGTGACTTCACGGACAGTGGACTTCTGTAATGATTCAAGCCATTGTCTTCGCACTGAATATTCTCAATACATGTCTCAACACCTTCATACTAAAATGCAAATTGTTAGCCCTCCCACTCCACCACACACACACATAAACACACCCTTTTTCATATTTCTGCCAATGGACATCACCTCTGAAAAAAAAAAAAAAAAAACAACCTTACTGAAAGAGTTAAGGATAATGTCCATACACACGTAAACACATGTTATATTATGTAGTGCTAATAAAATGTGACCTTTCTCATTCAACTTGACTCACAGTTTTTGGGACAAGAAGAGAGAGGAATGTGAGAGGACTCATACTTGTCCATACCAGCACAGGGAAGAAGGAGTTATCCTAGCTGAATATAAGGTAAGAGGATGAGTTCGTACCCAACATATCCTGCTTTAAAATTATGTTGGGAGACTTTGCTGCAGTAGGTTTGAGTATTTCTGTATTATTATTTATTCTTTTTGATAAGATGAGCAATTTTTTTGACTATGGTTGTTTTTTTTAATGTGACATTTTTGCGTATATCATGTAAACTTGGTGCATCTTGGGCAGTATTTTGACCCTGATGGAGAACATTCTGCTTCAGGTGGCCTCTTTCCTGTTAGCCTGTATAGTTTTGGACAGAGAGATAAATGATCACATGTTTCTACTGGTGCATGTGCAACAATAATTATTCACATTCTTTGGTAGATGGCTGATGATATAGTAAACTTCTTCATTTGTGATGTTGTACCTCTATGAGACTCATAACTCAGACAAAAACCACATCACAAATGAAGAAGTTTATCCATATTATCAGCTGACACATTGGCAACTAAAAATATTTTTAACTCTTTGATTACCAAACAACGCATGATGTATACAAAGTGAAAAGGTATAGATATGTTACACCATCTAACTACCTTACAAAAGTGATACTATTGGTACAGGGGAAGAGGAGGAAAATTGGCTAAGACAAACCTGGATACAGAATTTAGCTGACCTGGCAGGCCTAAGATATGTAAATCAGCATCAATTCCAGTGCATCTGACCAATAAAAGTGTAGGTATCTGATCGGACAGCAACAAATGGAGACCCAGTGACGGACAGTGTTGTATAACTATATCGTGATAATACATATGTCAGGATTTTGCAGGTCTGTGCTTGTCTTTGTGCAACCTGGAAACTGTTAAGGCAGACCTGGCCCTTAGGCTTCGGTGGTAGCTAGTAAAGGAGGAATCTCCGACCAAGACCAACTCCAGCTACGGGCCATGCTGCTGACGTCACCAAACCAGGCTAACGATCGTTAACTCAGCATTTCTAAAACTTGTTTGGGTCGGGCAAAAAAAATATTTTGCGGCACCCCTATCCTTAAAGCGGTTTGAATACTTAAGAAAAGAAGAAAAACTGCAAAATTAATGTCAAGCAGATTTGGAAAAATTCTTGATTATTGCCGTGGCACCCATAACATATGCTCGCGGCACCCTTTGGTTTCGCGTAACCTAGTTTGAGAATCACTGCATTAATGTATCGTTAGCCCGTTTGATAACGTCAAGAATTGCCCGGCAGCTGGAGCCAGTCTTGCTCCGACAGGCGGACAAATAGAGTACTGCTTTTTTGATCCTGCAGCTTCTGCAGTGGGCTTTGTTCCAAACATATTGGTGTTACCCTTCATTTGGAGTTAACAAATTGGGCCAAGAAAGGGATCATGATGCACATGCAACACATGGTCTCTATAGTACTGCTATGGCTTTGTGCTGTGTAGAGGAGGAACTTCATCACTGGCCTTTATTGTATTATGGGCAGGTCTTGCTAATCACACTCGCCATTACTGTGGGCTCTGAGTCATACACCTCCTCATAGCACATTCTAACACTACTGTCTGGAAAGAAGGATAGATGCCAACAGCAACAACAGCTTGTCTTTGAAAGTCATTGTTTCCTTAGTGTACAAATCAATAAATAGCTAGTCTGGTTAACAATGATAAAGTTGTGAACATACAATAAAAATAGGAATAATAAAGTAGTAGAAGCTCAGCTTAATCAGAACATATTTATAAATGGCAGAGTAGAAGTCTTCATTAGCCCCCCCCAAAAAAGACTAATTGAAAGCTAATATGGTAGCATACCTGCTAGATGCTTTCCTGCTGGACTGAAGGTCTTGGGTTCAAAACTGTATAAGTGCGTATTTTTTGTTTCTTCAAAATTGTTTGTAACCTTGTCACTGAGAATGCTTAAAAAAAACAAAAAAACAAACAGGGGTCACGAACCCAAAGGAACTTGCAAAGTTCGGAGAGAGAGAGAGGGGGGGGGGGGGGGGGGGATTTATAAGACTACATATTATTTAAAGGAAGTAATCGTTAAGCACGAACAAAGTGTTACATGAAATAAATCTCTCTGAGCCCTAAAAATTAACTTTGTGCTGTGTGACTCATGCTGTGACCCCGTGACCTCTATCACTGATACTACAGGTAAAGTATGACATCAGCATTGCCTTTTAAAAGTAATTTGATTCACAAGCTACCAGCCCCCCCCCCCCCCTTTCCCCCCCAAAAATTATTATTTTTTAAAGTAATTATATTAATATCCTGACTTCCTAAACGCTGTATAGGAACTATATCTCGTAAAGACGTTACTCTAGAAAAGTTGATACAGGGACTTTTATGGCAATGGGACCAAACTACTATAATTGTCAGTTTTGTTGCTCTTTGGGGCGACAGGGTTTATATGTTCTGATTCTTTATTTTTATATATCCTGTTGGATATCCAGTTGCTTAGGTAGACCTCCATTAAAGGATGTGGGAACACACATAAGTGAAAGGCAGTGACAGTCTTTAACTGATAACATTAATAAATAGATGTCCACACTTGTGGGTGTTACTGAGGACAGAGCGTCATTGCTTCTAGAGCTACAGAGTAATACTTTGTGTGACTCTCTTGGCAGGTGGCTAGCCATTCTGCTGAGAGAGATTGAGCCATATAAGATAATATCTGGTATATTGAAGTCAGTCCTCTCGATTGATTTCAGTCCCCTTGACTTTAAATTTAACTGTGATTTATTGCAGGACCATTTTGGCATTCTGTGTACACGATATCAGAAACACCATCAGTGGGAGAGAGTCAGTCACCTTGGAAATGGAATGTCAGGAAAGTGCCACCTGGCAATTGATCTAAAAACAAACTTTAAATTTTGCTGCAAGAAGGTAATATATCTTTGAATAATAATATAAACATGCCTTTCAGATTCAACAGTTAAAAATAAAAAAAAAAGTTTTTTTTTAAAATTGCCACTTTTGTGAGTACGGTAGGAATGTTACAAACATGAATAAATTTGTAAAGACAGGACAAATGGTAAAAGAAATTGAATATAAATTTGCATTTTGCAATTGTGTCAAACAAGGTAAGAGAACAAGCTAAGAAGTTAAAGAAAAAAGCTGGAAACAATTCTTATCTCTGACCGTACAGAGAAAAATGCCCTTTACAGTGAAAATGTACCTTTGCTGAGGATGCAGAAAAAAAAATACACAAGTACAATTGGAAATGACGAGTTATAGAATTTCAACCGCAAAAAGAAAAGTAAACATGAATGTGGTCCTTTGTGACACAGCATAACAATACGTATTTATTAGTAGTAAAGGAAGTTTAGATCAGTTAATGTGTTGAGAAGCTACTGGACAAACTTGTCTCACAAAACCTCTGGGATGCAGAGATGCTGATCCACACAAGGACAGGGGCTCCTCGTTGTCATCTTAGAAACAGGTTCCCTACCAGGGTCTGACCAGTGTCCATAGGATCAGCGCTTCGTTAAAATTTGTAGTGCATCTGCCTGAGAGGCACGGAATCAACAGTCTGCACACAAATAAGTCAGCTCTGTAAAATGAATGTGCATGCAACACTGAGGTCCTAAAACAAGACCAAAGTCCAGAAGTGGATGGAAAAACCAGGACTTTCCAATGGAGTTTTCAGCTGGTGAACATTGAGAAGAAGAAGAAAACTCATTTATTTCCAGCCTGTGAGGCTGCACGAAACCATTTAATGAAGATATCAGAAATGCTGTCGAACATGTTTATTTAGTGTGGTTAATCATAAATTAATCACATTTCACAATGTTAATAGTCTAGGTTAATCACGTGCAAGGAAATCGAAGTGAAAATTCAATCTTTCATTTAGCAACATACAGATTTGAGCCGTGGACTGTTTCACAATCAGTAAAGAAGCCAATAGGGGTTTTTAAGCTGAAATGTTATAGAAAGATTCTCAGAATACTATAGATCAAGAAGAAAAGAAATAATGCTGCCTAAAAGATATGAACATCAAGGCAAATGGGTTCTTAAATGGCATCTTGTCCCCAAAACTTAAACATTTTGACCATATAAGGTGCAGCTGTGGATTGAAAGGAGCAGCAGTGGAGGACATGCTACCAGGAAAGAGGTGCGGGTGCCAACCAGCATGAAGATAGGTACGGGATGTAAGCGACATCTCAGATAGGAAAGTGCACGAGGTGGGAGAGCTGATCAAGTTTGTTTCAGGCAGCCTGTGACATAAGAGTGACATTTTGTAAAGGACCTGCTACAAGATGATAATGAATCTTAGGAATCTTCACCTGTTAATGAGATTGAACATTAATGAGTTAATTAACTGAACATTAATGAGTTAATGAAACCTCAGTGACATCACTCTTATGTTCAGTCAGTCAAGTGCCGTCTCCACATTGAAGGTTGGCTGCGGTGAATCTCCAACACCTTCTGTGTTTTTGTTCTGGTTGTACACTCAGACTGCTGCTCATCCATCTGTTGATGTCGTGTAGCTTGTATCCTCTGCCGCTTGACCTCAACTTTTTTCTCTAGTATAGTTTTCAAAAGAGTATTATTTCTTTTAATGTGCCCAAAATATTTAAGTTCTCTCTCTTTTATTTCTTCAGTAATATTCTTTTCATTTGGAGTCTCTTAAGAACCTCTGTATTTTATTGTTTTTAGATCCACAAAACACTGCCTATTCTTTTATGTATCCACATTTGCAGATTTCAATTCAATTTTGTAATTACGTGTTCATTGTCCAAGTTTTTGCACCATACTGTAGAGTTAAGTATATATAAAAGTTGATGATTCTCATTTATGTTGAGAGATAGCAAATTAGCAAAGGTATGAATGGTTTCAGTCATCCATGATGTAACTCTAACCTGCAGATTCACCTGTTGAGGTACACAGAAGAAGAACTGACACTGTGGAGTGAGATGAAAAACCCCTACGTTGTAAAGCTGTATGGGGCTATACGTCATGGTGTGAAGATATACATATTCTCAGAGTTCATTGATGGTATGCAAACTGTTTATTATCCAGCATAATTTAGTGATTGTCCTGTCAACTAGAATTTAAACTCTAGTTTGATGTTTGGATAGTAGGGCCGAATTAGGGGGAGTGGGGGGGGGGGGGGGGGGGGGGGGGGGGGTGGGGGGGGGGGGGTTGGGGTGGCACTTATTGCCATCTACTTAAACATGTTGTAAAAGGCAGCAAACAAATTTGTTTTTTCTTAAATTGGAAATATCGGCCCAAAAGGTGCATACATCACAGCCTAGTTGTAAACCACAACACAACATGCCAACCACTGTTTTCATTTTACAACCCTCTTGGACGATTTGGACCTTTCTATAGTTGTGTATACTATTCTACTTTTATTAGCCTTTTCTAGCCATTTGTGATTAGTTACTTTGCCTGTCCAGTATATTTACAGCATTCTCAGAACCCAGTGTCCCACTGCCTCCTAGGGTTTTCTGTATATAAATACGTTGAAGCTGGGGTAATGCAATGGCTAGATGCTTGCCTGCTTGCTAAAAAATCTTGGGTTAGTATTCGGACCCGGTGGATATGTTAAAAATCAATCAATCAGTCAAACTCATGTCAACCCATCCTAGTGGGTATCAGGTATCCTGATGAACAGGCAGACAGATTGGCTGGATCTGCACCACTGGGTGGTGAATTGATACATACAAGGCAGATGAGGTGAACGCCCTTTAGGAACAAGCAATGGAACCAGTAGAGAAAGAAGATTATTATGACCTAAAGAGAATGAGGCACCTGGGTGCAACCAGAGGGTCTGGCCGGCTCACTACAATTAAAGAAAAGGCAAGATGGACATATAACCAGATTGTGGCCGGTACCATCAGTATTGGAACTCTGTGCAGGCTGCTGAAGATGGGGACAGAGCGCACATGGGAATGCCCCGAGTGCTTTGATGTCAATTCTTGACTTAACTCAGGTATCCTGAGAAGTAAAAACGGTTGGTATGTCTTGATGACATCATGTTGTGTGGGCCAGATAGTCTATAATGAGTCTAGCATCATATACTCAATAATAAACGAGAAACATTCATTAACTGCACAGAATAGAGAGAGTTAAATGATATGATATAGTCAATAATGTTGAGCTTTGTAAGGGAACTAAACCAGTTCCAGTGGACCAAGAGGTGCGGAAAATACGCTGGCGTTGGATAGGACACACATTTATAAAACTGGATAACAGTTAACTGTAGAATAACTTTGCACTGGAACCCAGAGGGGCCTGGTAATAAAGGCAAACCAAAAAATACAAGGAGAAGGGAGTTAGATAATGAAGTTGAAAAGATGGGAAGGACATGGGATGATCTGCATGCAGTAGGTAAGGATTGAACAACTTGGGTTGAGTTGGTTGAGGACCTATTGTGGAATCGAAGGCAAAAGAAGAATCATTTTCCAGTTGCTCCACTGGCCTGAAAAGGATCCTTTACGTGCTGTGTTCATTTCGATACATTTCAAGATTCACTGTCAGTGATATATTGCATCTTCAGCATATTTCAGTTATCACTTTGTGGTATTAAATTAAGTCTAGAAAAGTGTTTGGTCGTAGTCTTTGATGCTTGTATTTGATGACTTGCTTTTTGAAGAATTATCAGTGATGAGCTGCCGACCTGACATTTATGGCTGCTTGTTTTAGGAGGAAGTCTGGCTGCATGCATAGAAGAGCAGAAGTACTTAGGCCGGCGTCTGAGTCATTGGTCTGCGATCAACTACTTCCAGCAGTTGCTGAAAGTTCTGGCCTTTTTACAGAAAAAGAATATCCTTCATGAGGATATTAAAGGTAGATGTTCTCCTTTCAGAGACATTTCATAACTATCCATTACAGTTAATTAATTATGATTCATTAATCCAGTGTCTCCCAAACTTTTTTTTGGGTTGCTGCACCTTTGTTCAGTGAAAATTTTTCAGGTGCACCCTAGCCCCAATAAAAGTATGACTATTCGTGTCTTGGTTGAATTAATTATGAAGCTTTTACAATATTTGGAGGCGCCCCTGTGAAGAGGTCCCGGGGTGCAGCGGCACACAGTTTGGGAATCACTGCACTAATCCATTGTTTTGGTTAATACACCAATTATAGGAGAAAGCACAGACAGAGGTATTATAGACGATGCTGTAAAGACTAGTCTGGCAGATACTGCTGAGTGTCTGATGTAAGCCTAACTACATGACTTGGAAGGGAAGCCTGGCAAAGCATGTTAGTGCTGCCTTTGATTTCAAGAGAGGATATAACAAAATTCCCAAGGCAAAATGGGTAAAAAGTATTCAAAGCTGGCTAGTGCATTAGAAAACTGAACACACATGGAAATGTTGTATGTGCAGTAATTGTGGTAACATAATGGGAATCCAAGTAGTCCAGTGGCTAGCATACTTGCATACAGTGGGGAGTGACCAGGAAATCTGGCCGACACTCAGCACTCTAGGAAGGGCAAGATGGATAAACAGTCAGACTACTACCAGTGCGGCGTCCGTGGCTAAGGCGTTGCGAGTCCGACTCGTAAGCCTGCATACCGCGATCGAAACCTACTGCAGGCTGCGTGGATTTTTGTCATGGTATGGGACGTCGCAGGTTCGACCCAGCCTAAAATGGGTACCAGGGCTGTCCTGGGAAAGTAAAGACAGCCGGCGTAATGCTGACCACATTACCCACAGAGTGCTGATGGTCTGTAAAATATGGGACGCTCTGCCCATATGCCCGATGCGCCGAAAGGCGTGAAAAGGGATCTTTAATTTTTTTTTTTTTCACTATTACCAGTACCATGAGAATTGGAACTCTGTGCGGTTTGCTGAAGATAGAGGAGTGCTTATGGGAATATACAGAGTGCTTATGGGAATATACAGAGTGCTTATGGGAGTATACATAGTGCGTATGGGAGTATACATAGTGCGTATGGGAGTATACATAGTGCTTATGGGAATATACAGAGTGCTTATGGGAAAATACAGATTGCTTATGGGAATATACAGAGCGCTTATGGGAGTATACATAGTGCGTATGGGAGTATACATAGTGCGTATGGGAGTATACATAGTGCGTATGGGAGTATACATAGTGCGTATGGGAGTATACATAGTGCTTATGGGAATATACAGAGTGCTTATGGGAAAATACAGATTGCTTATGGGAATATACAGAGTGCTTATGGGAATATACAGATTGCTTATGGGAATATCAGATTGCTTATGGGAATATACAGAGTGCTTATGAGAATATACAGAGTGCTTATGGGAATATACAGAGTGCTGTGATGTCAGTTGTTAACAGCTCAACTCATCTCTTGACATTGAGGCAAATCTTTACAAATTGATGGCAGCTTACAGGTCAGGTTAACTGTAAATGAGTACTAGAAAATGTCTTGGAAGGTTATGTTATCACAATCGACGTCACAGCACATTCGGTATTCTCATGCCTGCTCTGTCCTCCGATGCATCAGACACTCAGAGACAATTCTACTAATTGTTCCCATGAGAAATTAGTTATATTATTTTCTATCTCGGCCTTGAAGGGGGCATAGACATGTTTTACCAGGCTTAACTCCCATGTCAGGCAATCGTGTTAGTGTCAGAGATTTGTCATTATTAACTAGCCTAGTCCATACAACACTGTCAGAATCTGCTATATCTATGCTTCTTCCCACATATGTTTAGTGCATAGCTTGCCAGTTGGTCGGCTTGCTCATTACCCTTTAGGCCCCCATGACCAGGTGTGTAGATCTGGGTAGGGAGGTTGTGTGTGATTTTTGAATGCAACAGCACTTACTTACCTGAAAAGATGGGCACCAGAATGTTGTTGAACCATGAAGTACCAGTTGGTCTATAGAGATACAGAGGTAGCACAGTATACACCTCAACATGTGGAGAATCTTTTATCTAATATTTCTTCTTGTGCTTCTTATCCCCTAACTCAGGCCAAGTAGCCACATCCTCTGCTACCTCACGCAACTCAAGTTCCCTTATTTTTAACTTCATTCTCTAGTTCCATGTATTTGTGTGTGTCTGCCTTTATTCCTTTGACTGTCGGTTCCAGTGTAATGATACTCTAGTTATATTGTTATGAAGTATATAAAAGGACTCCATTTAATATGCATAGCACAGAAATGTGAAGAATCCTTTACTTCGTTTAATTTTTCTTCTTCTGTCTGTTATCCCGCAACTCAGGCCATGTCACCGTATCCTTTGCTATTTCATGTAGCTCACCCCATGTCCCCTTATTTGTAACTTAACTCTATGGCTGCCTTCTCTTAGCTTTTCTTTTTTGTATGTGTATGCCTTTATGTTTTTTGACTCTTTTGGTTACACTGCAATGACATTCTAGTTAAATTGTTATCAGATATACATAAATAACTTACTGAGTCACACCACCCATGTAATACGCATTTAAACATAACATTGGTGGTTCATATAAAATGGAGCTGTCTTTAGCGCTGTGATGATAAAGCTCACTAATCACTAAGTGCATATACTAACTACTTTGATACTTTTCCTTTTAGCGGACAACATCCTACTTCGACGCAACAGCATTTATTTGGCTGTGACTGATTTTGGCACCTCTCGGCGCCTGCAAGACCCCAAGGAGCTGAAAAACAAATCCCCTGTTGGCAGCCCAACACACTGGAGCCCTGAAAAGGCTTCCATGGAAGGACATGGTTTTTCCTCTGATCTGTGGGCAGCCGTTTGTGTGTTAGTGCATATGTTGAGTGGAGAACCTCCATGGGTGAAGAGGTTTATGAACAGGGTTGCTATCTTGAATTTCATTGTGAGTAATGTTAATTGTGGCATAAATTTACTGTCATCTCATAAGTAATCTTCCATTTGTGTTCTGATTTTGTTTTTAAACATATTTTTTTTAAATATTTAAAACAAGAAAATAGGGGCTTTTGAATTAAAGTGCATTAAAAACATTCTCAGGATACCAAAGACAAAAAACACTTTAAAAAAAAAACACATCTATGTAGATTGGCTAGTAAACAGACAGTATCTGGTCTTGGAAACTGAAATATTTTAGCCATATCAAGCATCACAGCGGATTGGAAGAATAATAATAGCAATGGGCATGCAATGAGGAAAGAGGGACAGTACACAGACAGTATCTGGTCTTGGAAACTGAAATATTTTAGCCATATCAAGCACACAGCGGATTGGAAGAATAATAATAGCAATGGGCATGCAATGAGGAAAGAGGGACAGTACACAGACAGTATCTGGTCTTCGAAACTGAAATATTTTAGTCATATCAAGCATAATGGTGGATTGGAAGAAAAATAATAGCAGTGGGTCTTATATGAAGAAAGAGGGACAGGGGCCAAGCAGCAGAAGATGGCACATATAAGTGACATATTGGTTAGGAAAGTACGAGACAGGAGAGATTCCAAGGGACAAGTTTCTTTCGGGCAGACCACTATAAGTGTGGTGTTCTAATATTTCAGGGGGTGGTAGATAGGCTGCATGCAGTTGTGGGACCTAGGCTGCATGCATTCATGGGACCTAGGCTGCACTCTCTTGTGGGACGTAGGTGGGTTGGGGTTAGGGAAAGTTTTAGATGTTTTGTAGTCGTTAAAAGCATCAGAAAGTGGGGAAACCCAGCCTTACCACTCTCTAACATGTTGGACTGTCCTGGGACATCATCTGGAGTAAGATATTAATAAAGAACCATGCAACTGAGGTTTCCTTTATCTTCAAGTTTTTTTTTAATCAAATGGTTTACTTTGACAGAAGAACAACATTTTCATACTTTGACAGCTAGAAATATTTATGAAATAAGAGATACACGATGATACTGAGAATATTTTTGATGGCCTTTTATCATGACAGGGAAAGACAAGATGACTAGTTAACCAGATAACGTGTTCCATCAGTATGGAGAGATCTGTGGCTCTTGAGAATGGAAACAGTGCTAATATGGGCTTATCCTGAATGCTGTGATTTAGAATCTTTACCCAGATGAATCCAGATTTATGAACTGTATATGTACTTAGTTTTATTATTTGCACTTTTGCAGACCCAAGCATCTTGTTATGTACAAACACAACTGCTCAAGATATAATGAGCTAACTTATCTACCTGATACTCATTGAATAAACCCATTGAGTCCCAGGCCACACACACTGTAAGACTGGGTCTTGCTTCTTCCAATGTATCTCAACCACTGCTTTTGTTGTCTTGCTTTTTATTTTTTTTGGTTGAGTAGAACAAAGATATATGGCTTTTCTACTCACCATTTTCACTATTTAGCAATCTAAAAAGTAAAAATTTCTCTTTGAGTATTTGCCTGCAAAACTTTGATTGATTGAAAGATTTAAATTAAAATTGAACACATTTGTAAAGTGACTGTGTACTTATACAAACTATTAAAATGCAGATTTTTCAAAGATCACCTCCAATGGAAGATGTCCCAAGCAATATACAGCTTGTAGTTAGGGACCTTATAGCAAAGGGTTTCATTAGGGATCCTCAAGCCCGACCTAGTTCCAGTGAGCTGCTGCAGCATCCAGCTTTCAAGATCCTAGGTGGGTGTTTATCTGACCCTTCACAGTTTTTCTCAAATCTTATTGACTGTGTACATATTTTATTACTTTGTTTTGTTGTTGTTGTGGGTTTAAAAAAACATAGTGTTTCGTATTTTTTACTAGATGTTGCAGAACTATCCCTAGCAGTTGTTGGCAGTTTGGTGTCAGTACAAAGTAGTCTGCTGCCATATTCCAGCAGCTGGAATTGAACCGGGTACCTCTGAATCACAAAGCGCATATGCAGTGCCTAAGGCACAGACTGTGACATTGTTGTAGGTAGGAAGAAAAGAGAATGAAACCCTATCAGCTACCGATAAGATAATTTAACCATAGAGCATGTAAAAGTAGGACCAGAGGATGATCAGGAAGAAAGATGGATAGGCAACCTCAGAATTTCCCACTCAGATCAAAGGTAGGTACAGTATAACTAAGACATAAGCAATGTTTCTACTTCATTGTGAGTAATGAGAATTAAAAAAAGTGAAACGCTATCAACTGCTGATGAAAGTAAAAACCAAAAGAATATGTGGATATAGTGATAGAGGATGACCAAAGGAGAATGATGGGTAGACAACCACAATACTGAATGTCCTCAGAGACGCAGCTCGATTAAACGAAAAAAAGTAATGATTGTGAATCTGCAACACTGACGAGACTACACAAACATAACATCAAAAGTGGTGAAGCCAGACAAACCAGGGGCGCAAAGAAAAATAGTAAACTAACACAAAACTGGTCACTACACGCTGAGGGAGATACTGAAAAAAGGGATCTGAGCACTTATGGACCAAATATTTTGATACACGATAATGATAATCTGTCGAGTAACTAACTAAGGTCGCTCTAAACAAAAAGAACAGTATGCTAGAGGCATGGGGCATTCAGGGTACCCTGGGCATGAAAATGCAGATTGCTGAGGGGGAGGGGGAGGATTTGTATGTGTGCTTGCTGTGTTCCCTCTCCAAGCTGCTGCCTAAAGTTTTGACACTGAGATTACAAAATATTGATCTGGATGGCAGAACCACAGGGCACATCCCAAACACCCATTCAACCTCCAAAGTATGATGGTGGCACCCATTACAACTGCACCAGGTTGGTGTAGCCTTCGTGCAGTCCATTGGTAAATTTAGAATTAGTTAAAGATTTTGAGGGCTGATCATAGACAAGAAGGTAAAGTCGCAGACTGATTAGGCAAATTGATTGGCACCTTTCCGTCTTTCCAGACAAGAGTGTTATATTGCACTATAAGGAAGCATGGGACTCACAGCCCATAGGCAATGGCAATTGTGACTAGCAAGACCCGCCCACATTAAGAATAGTCTTCCACAATTGTAGCCTAGGATTTCAGGGCTGCTGTTGTCTAAATTTGTGTTCAGTGTGTTTCTTCTCAAGACCCTCATCTCTCATCCTATCTGCAGTCATTATCTTTCATTCTCATTCCCTTCCTGATGTGCTCCCTCCATACAACAAGGTCCATGACATTTTGTTCCCACGAGCCCACCTCAGTACCTGAGTTTATTGAGTTTGGCATCAATGATAGCCAGTTTTCTTACATCACAAATGTTTTCCAGGTCATTAGAAAACCCAGGAAACATAGTCCTGACGTTCCTTAAGGCAAGCTGAAACTTGGAGTTATGTTTATTTTTATTGCCTGGTACATTGTGTTTTACAGTCTGCGGTTCAGATTTTATCATAGCTGCAAGCACCCATTTAAGCACACAGGCTGTGGCGGATCAACACCTTATTGGCTAGGGACTGTCCAGCTTGAGGTGGGTGATAGCTGATCAGTGACATTGTCTCCCACCATCAGAGGCAGCCCGTGACTCTCTTATCTGTGCCAGTTGACAAGGACTTTTAACCCATAACTCCTGCCTCTCGATTTGTTTCCAATTAAGGCCAGGTATGAAGTTCTTCCTCTCCATAGCACAACGCCTGGGCAGTATTTTAGAGATATTTATTTTCCATGTATCATGACACTCCTTCCCTCTCCTCATTTTTATTTCTAAGAAAAGTTGACTAGTATGGTTGGAACAAAACAGGCAACAGAAGCTGCCAGATCAGAAGAGCAGTGCTCTATCTGTCCGCCTGTCGAAGCTTCCCTTCTAGACCAGCTGCCAGCCAAAGTTAAAGTCTGCCCTGCCATAACATAAAGTTTTCAGCTTGCATTTCCTCTTCCTAGGGTAGGATATTGTCCTCCTTAATGCGCTTTTTCACTCAAAGCGATTTGCAGAGTTTAGGATGTCAGGTTTGGTATATGCCGCTGAACATTCAGCGTTAACAGAAGACGGGTAGTACCGGCTACTGCTATAGTGTTGCTCAGTTATATCTGACCAAAACCTGACCTGGGATTAAATAAATTAGTTGTCATACTCCTTCACATATCTTATATATGATAAACAAATAGACATGTACTGATTTGCACTGATAGAAAGAAGTACACAGCCATACCCTCCATTGTCATGCTGCTTGTGGTAGAAGCAAAGGCTTCACTATCCTCTTCATGCGACTCTGTGACACAATGCATTCCTTGAGGTTTACTAGGGTTTGGTTAAGAAAAGAGTATTCTCATGGCTTTTAAAGAATGTTATGAGAGTCGCACAGTAAAAGAGACGGATTTCTTACCACGTAAAATTCCAATTTAGCAGTGAATACATTGTAGAGATAACATCATCATCATCAGGTGCCTTGCCGACTGGCGTGGGCGATCATGCCTCTCCATTATCTGCGATCTCCTGCAGCATTTATCAGTTCGTGTGCCGACACACCTCCATGCCATGCAACAAGACTGTCAAGCATCTTCTCTCGTTGTCTTCCTCTATCTCTCCTTCCACAGATCTTTCCAGTGGTCACAACATGTAGAGATAACACAATTTAAAAAAAAGTAATTAAAAAAAAAAACATTTACTGTTGACATTCTTTTCTGTACAGACAGCACCACAACATGTTATCTTTAAAGTGAGTAGTAAAGAACAATGAGGCCTCTTGTTTGCTCCACTCACTCTGTTTGAATCAATCCCACAGATGAGGGCACACCTGAAACATACTTCTCAACACTGACCTCCATGGCACACGGATTCCCTGTCATCCAAGCTGCTGTTGGAGGAGTGGAGCAACCGGTAAACCAGTTTTTAGCAGCTGTAAATTCTCATTGTTTGCAATATCTCTGCAGTAATTTATTATTTGCATTTTTGTTTAGCTTTGATTCATTGTCTCTTTGTGAATAAGGAAAATAGTACTTAAGTAAGGGTAGCTCATCATTCCACCTAAGACAAGCAATGATTTATTTATGTTTGGTGTTCTTAGAACTGCATCTCAATGTCATATCTAGTATAAGTGAAAAACTAACACTTCATAAATTATAACAAATGGACCAAGCTGAGATTCTTCTTTTTTCTTTCTTTTTTCTACTCTGCCCTTAAGTGTTAGATTTTGAAGTCATCTGGTGTAGCTTTGATGTGTGCTGTGTAGATGTTGACATCTATGGCCTTAAATATTATATCTGTCCATCATTTGCATGGGCGACCTCTGCATCTGCTTCCATTATGACTGGGCTCTGTGTGGTGGATTATCTTTTGGTAGTGTTGGCATGCGTCAGAACCATATGTTCTGTTGTCTACTACTGTAGTTTAGCATTTGTTCCATCCCAACTTGTTTCCTGATATTGTCATTGTTATTTTTTTTTTACAGACTGTTAGAAGAGATGTAACAATGTTTAGTACTGCTGATTCTGCTGCAGCTGACGCTACAGTTCTGTACGCAGGAACAGTTAAAACTGGGCCGTATCAGGAGTCTGACAGTCGACCTGACAACTTGAACAAGCAGCAGAGTGAAAGAATACCAGAAATAATAAATCCTAATGAGGTTGTTAGGACAGTAGACCAGCAGCAGAATGAAGAAGATGGGAACAAAACAACTGTGATTGATCAGTCAGAAATTGACAAAGGTGTTGTTAGAGATGAAGGGCAGGCAGCAGCCGCCGAGACACAGAATGAAAAGCTACCAAATGTACCCACCATGGCAAGCTCTGCTGCAGCGGGAGATAAGGTGTCAGCTGCGGGCGGCAGTGTGGATTCAAAGGTGCGTCAGTTGGTAGGACCTCTTGACATTGATAGTCTTCTTCCACAGTTTAATGAGCTGTTTGTGTCTGGAGATTCCCTTAGTATTCAGTCGATTAAATCATTCTTTGCTGATGCTTACAACACAGAGGAGTTCAGTGGTGCCAAACCATCACCATTGGAAAGGTTTAAACCAGAACTGAAACAAGATGCACTCCCCAATCTGTCAATATTTTATTGCGAAATGGCACCAGCAACCAGACAGCAGGATGGTGTATCTGAGAGTGAGAATTTCATTTCTGATATCTCTCAGATTAGTGCTTTGCCAGGAATAACCAACACCCCAATTAGGGATAGGTTACAAGGTAGAAAACCACATTCTCAGAACCCAATCAGCTTTATGCTGTCTTCAGAATCAGATGAATGTACTAGTGCTGACCTGTTTGAACCAGATCCTGCTGCTAAAATGTCAGACTCTGGTCATGGTAACAATATCAACGATGCCCATGCTGAAGCTAGTGGACCAGAAACACCAAGGCCCAGTATGAATCCTCCAGAGGACATGAGCCCTACAGCCAGCACAGGCAGTTCATCTAACACATCTACTCTTCAGATGAGAAAGCCGACAAATCTGACTCTGCATTGCACCCCATTGCCTCCTGAGCTGCCACATAGCCATTCCGACATTCCACTTCTAACAGCCCCATCTGTTCATGAAAGCGAAATGAAGCATCGCTCAAACACTTGGTCTCAGCTACCATCAACCCACAATCCACATCATACTGGTGGCACTCCTAGCTCAAGTCAGGCAGCCTCGGCACTAAAGAAGACAAATGGTGCATCAATACCTAGCACAGCTTCATCTGGCCACTCTCAGTTCTCCTACCATCGCAGTTCAGTCAAGGAAGAACAGGAGAAGAGGATTCAAGAGTTAACAAGTTAGTATTAATTCTTCTTCTGTTACCTCAGTTGCCTTATCTGAAAGGTATGTTATGTTATGACAATCTACGTCTCTGCACATTTCATATTCCAATGCGTGCTCAGTCCTCCAGTGCAGCAGCCACTTCAGTGTACTTCTACTAATTGTTCTCATGAAGGGTTGATTATAACCTCTCCTATCTCGGCCTCGAAGGTGACATAGACTTGCTTCACCATGCTTTACTCGTATCAATCGTTTTAGTGTCAGAGATTCGTCATTATCCACTAGTCCATTCCATACAGCTTTGATGTTATGTGATCTGTCCATGCTTCTTCCCACATGCGTTGGTGCATTGCTTGCCAGTTGGTCCACTCGCTAATTACCCTTTATGTCAGCATGACCAGGTGAGGGAGTTTTAAGTGTGATTTTTAAATGCTTTCTACCCATTCCTCCTGTTGCTATCTTCTGAAGCATGTTCATGGAGTCGGATACAATTACTGCAAGTATGGCTGTTTGATCTGCTGCCCATGCTAGTGCTCTAGAGGCAGGGGCTATTTCCATGGTAATGCTTGATGTAGTTGCCTGGTGAGCGCCCCTGTCCTCTTATTGTTTTACCTTTTGTACTGTGTATGCCCATGCTGACACTGTTCCATACTTCACAACTCCATCTGTGTAGATGATTATGTCTTCTGGGTGTGAATGCTGATCTATCAGTGCCCTACAGCCGCAGGAATCTGATCCCTGCAGTACTTCCCGAGAGTGATGACAAGCTTAGAGATGCCATGCATATCTGCTGGTGTATTCCTCCATTCCTTTCCATGACTGATCTTGTCTAGGTCACATACCTGCTGGATTAAATCTTCAGTCTTGGCCATCCAGGAGCAGCCTCTTTTGAGACGCGTTCCTTTTGTGTCGTGTAAAGCTTTATGCAGTGGGTGGTTAATGTCTGCCGATACCTTCATTTACGCCTTGACCTTTGCAATTTTGTGTCTATTAGCTATCAATAGCAAACCCAGGACATAACGCAGGGCATGGCAGGAAGTATCTTGTGCAGCCGAGTATGAGTCTCATGGCCTTAGTTTGTACTCGGTCCAATCTTTCTAGCATGGTTCTGCTGACAGTGAAGAGGCCCAGACCATAGTCGGTGATGCTTGACACAAGCCCTTGATGTAAAAGGAAAAATAGGTGTTATTTAAAAACAGCTGCTGCTAGCTCCTCGAGTGCTGTCAGACCTTTCCTGGCTCTAAGCATGATGTTGTCTACGAGACACTTGTATGACAAGCACCTGTCAAATGTTATTCCAAGGTATTTTGTCATGTCCATTCTCTCGATGTCCACACCACACATGTTTTTGACTGGCGTGGGTGTACTGATGATATGGGTATTCAAAGAGAACCAAAAATAGCATGTGCGTGCGCGTGTGTGTGGGTTAGGTGTAAATGGATCTATAGTGTTCTCTTTCTAATGCTTTGTGTTGACTTCTGATTTTTTCATTTTTGATTATATCTTCTTTGGTTTGTTGGGTATTGCTAATAGGAATATTTAATTGTGTTTCTACAATTTGTAATTGTTTTGCTTATTAGGAGTATTTGATACTGTTTCTGTTTGATTTGTAAAAGTATTTCTGTTGTTTTCTGAACTCTGCTACAGCATATAGCCTCAGTGATAGAGTTCACGGGATCATGGCAGGAATCAGCCAACGTATACTTTTTTGGCCCCTGGGAATGTATTTCATTTAATGTTTCACTCTGTTTATGTTTATTGACTGCCTGCTGTATATTTTGTTTCATATATACCCCCCCCCCCCCCCCCCCCCCCCCGTATTTTAGGTAATTAATGTTTAAAAAAAACAACAACCTGGTAATCTAGTGATCTGTGTGTAACAGTTTAAAAACAATTTTTTAAACAGAATTTCCAAAGATTTATGACCCATTTTTTTAGCGTTCTCAGAGTGAAAGAGTTAATGCACTGTTGTACTGTAGAGGATAATTATTAGTTTCTGACACATCATAAGATACCAATTTCTCTCTGTAGCTGACATGCTGAGTGCCTACTCCACAAGCAGTGACAGTGAATCTCCTTATTTTGGAGATTATAATCAGCAAGAGACAAAAGTAAGCAAAGCCCCATATTGGCTGTATATTAAGTAAGGTAATCCAAACAATAAGAAACATTTTGTAAGGTTCATTAGGTTCCAGATTCAAAATGCTCTGGTCTGATAGTGAATGAAAATAAATTGTTTTGATTGATCTTGTATAGATTTATCTGTCTACTTTGGTCCCCTTGTGGGATCCGAGGCCCTCTTATAGGACAACCAAGAATAGACCCACTGCCTATCTAAAAGCATGTCGTAAGAGTCGACTAATCGGGAGCTTTCTTTGAAGTCAGAGTGCATCTGTCTGAGTGGCAAGGAACCTGCAGCCTGCATGCAATGAGTCAGATCTGTAAAACGGATGCACATGCAACACTCAGGTTCTGGAATGGGATTACAGTCCAGAAGTGGATGAACAACCAGAACTTTCCGCTGTAGTTTACAGCTGGTGAACACGAAGTAGAAGAAGAAGTCTACTTCATCCTTGTTTGTTGAAATGTAGCATCAGCGTGTACGTGCACACAAAGAGAAGAAAAAATCCCAGAGATTTTAAATAAAAAGCTTAAATTTGAGAGACAGGATCAAGAAGAATGTTGAATGTTCAATTAAGAATCGATATCACAGCATTCGGGACACCCCCATAAGCGCTCTATCCCCATCTTCAGCAGCATGCAAAGAGTTAAAATTCTGATGGTACCAGTAACTGATTGTATATCCATCTCGCCTTTCCCCTGAGTGTCGAGTGTTGGACAGATCCCTTTGTAACTCCTTGCAGTGCCATTCTCCTCAGACCGTAATGATCTATCTGTTTCTCGACACTGTTCACTTGCTCCCAAAGGGCCCTCACAACATCCAGCTTGTCATACATCAGTTCACCACCAAGTGGTGCAGAACCAGCCAGTATATCTGCCTGCTCATTTCCTAGCGCACCGACGTGACCTAAAGAAAGGCTCTAGGGGAAAAGTTTCATCCTTTAAAAAAATAAAGCTAAGTGCAACCTAGGCTATCAGTTCACCACCAAGTGGTGCAGAACCGGCCAGTCTGCCTGCTCATTTACCAGCACACCGGCATGACCTGGAGAAAGGCTCAAAAGTTTCATTCTTTGAAAAAAAAAAAGTGCAACCTACGCTATATGAGAAAGGAATAGAACAAGCCAGTAAGGACTGCAACACTTATGCCTGTCATTGATGCGTCACTTTTCTTCATGCAGAGATAGGGCACAATATGAAATAAGGACATGGAAAAGTAATCAGGAAAAGAAAATGTGGTGCACCAAAGCACGCACTGGGTAATCCTAGAAACAGATCCCCAACCAGGGGCCTGGCCAGAGTAGATAGAATGAATAGTTTCCATGAGGTCGAGTGCCTGAGAGGTGAGAAACCAACAGCCTGCACACACATTAGTTAGAACTGTAATATGAATGTGCAGTCAAAACTCAATTCCTGGAATAAGGCCACAGTCCAGAAGTGGAAAAACAACCAGGAAATTCTACTAGAGTTTACATTATAATTGTCAGTTAAAGGGTAGTGTTATATATACATCCCCACCATCTTGTTGGGCCTTTATGTCACAAGACTCGCAGTCTATTCTTCCATTCTGTTCCATCCTATGCACTTTTTCTACATCATTGATGGAATCTAGTTAAGCACTTGGTTCTTCAGTTTTAATTCATCCCAAACAGAAAATCTGGGAGTGCGTGGGAAAGTCTAAAGACATCATGTAACAGCAGGGTATTTCCTTTTGCAGCTTAATTCGCTGCTTTAAAAAAATAATTTGTGTGTTGATATAATGTGTGACATACAGTGCAACCTAAACCCATGATGCTGCAGAAACCAGTCTAGGCCAATGCTAAATATGGCATGGCTAACCTACCAGATTTGTTTGGGGGTGAACTAAAATTAAAGTACCAAGTGCCTTTTGCCTCCTTCAGCTGAGTTTTTCTTAGATGTCCCCCTCTGCTTAATCTATTTGTTTCCAATTTAAGTGGCTATTTGATAATTCACTGGCCCCTAGGCCTCAGAATGTACCCACTATATCATCATTTTCTGTGTTTTATAACTGTTGTATAACTTCTAGTAGACAGTTTTACAAAACCATTGCAAAAATGAGAACTAGAGATGAACCATTCCAGCCATCTGAATATGTCAATGATAGTCAAGGCAAACCCATACATGAGGAGGGCAAGATCAGAGAAAGGTGGAAAGAATATTTTCAGACTCTTCTGAATGTAACAGGAAATGAGGAAACAGTACCATTTACACCCAGATGTACAAACGAGGAACAGCCTACAATAATCGAACAAGAAGTCAGAGAAGCAATCAGATGCAGTCCCAAAAATAAGGCATCAGGTGTTGATGGAATATCAGCCGAGGCAATACAGGCTTGTGGAGAAATTGGAGTCACCTGGCTACTCCACATATTTAGGAAAGCCTGGAATGAAACAACTGTACCAATAGACTGGCAAAGAGCCCTTATAGTCCCAATTTGGAAAAGAAAAGGCAATAAGCAAGATTGTAACAATTACAGAGGCATCTCCCTTCTAAGCCACGTAGGAAAAATGTTTGCCAAAATTCTGGAACAACGAATTAGATCCGTTGTAGAACCGATCCTGAGCCCATCACAGGTCGGATTTAGGAAAGGAAGAGGGTGTACTGACGCTATTTTTGCTTTGAGACAAGTTAGCGAAAAGACAATAGAATACAGACATCAAATGAACATCACTTTCATAGATCAAGAAAAAGCTTTCGACAGAGTAAACAGAAATTTATTATGGAAAGTTCTTGAAAACTACGGTATAAATGGAACAATTTTAGATTGTGTTAGGGCTATTTATAGACAAAGTGAAAGCGCCATTAGAACAAGAGCTGACATCGCAGACTGGTTCCCAGTAACATCAGGAGTAAGACAAGGTTGTGTATTATCACCTT